AGAGAAGAGAGAGAGAGAGAGAGAGAGAGAGAGAGAGAGAGAAGAAAGAAAGAAAGGGAGAGCGGGAGAGCCACGACACATGAAACAGAGGAAGAGGGATCTCATAGAGGTGTGCTTGTGTGGCGTTTGAGTGAGAGAGAGCAACAGAGTACGTACAAGAAAGCAAATAATAGAGACCACACACAGGAGAGTGGGTGGAAAAGAGAGAACAAAGATGAGACAGAACTCTGCTAGCTGGCGAACTGAGACTTAATGATTTCAGTTAATGATAAGAGCAAAGCTAGTCAATAATAAAATGTGTGTGGCACACATGAAATCAAGCATAGCTATTGATGCCAGCAGGTGACCAGCCGTGATTAGAGGCAAAAGGAAGAAAGGAGAAGGTTGCCTACTTGGTCAATCAAAATATCAATTTGTTAAATGGTTGTTTTCAAGCAGGGAGAGGGAATCCTACCACCAGCCGGCTGCGGCACAAGATTAACATCCTCCATGATACCCATTGTAAATACTGTTTCTACATCCCTTCGGCCCTGCTGCAAGCTGTAAACCTGCACAGTTTTGAACAGAACAATAACCGTGTCAATATACTTATAGCACCCATCTACGTTGCCAGCTTATGCACCCAAATAGTCGTCGAGTTGGCCCTTCGAATTATATTTATGTTTCTTCTGCATTAGGGACGCCTTTGCATGCTCAGCGTCGTTTGCTGAAAAAGTGAAAACAAGAAAAAAATGTTAAAATGTGTGTGGCTCAACCGCACTACAAGTGCCCGCCATACACATCATGCCGGCCTCTGATGTAACGAATCCAACGACCATACCTCCTTATCATAGGTTGCTTTTAGTGTGGTGGAATACTCAGTCCCATGCACTTTGTACAGGCAGCTTAGGACACTTTTCAGTCTCAAATTCTCTCCTCCATGGTCAAGCTGTCATATTGCTCAGGGGTTTCGTTCTGTCTTCCTCGTCATGGTGGACAAGTTGGCCCTTTGTTTCGACTTGTGTCCAGTTCTTTGGACTTGTCTTCGACTTTGATTGGCCTATTGGACACGGTTCTTCTTGGTAGACAATTGTATTTCCTTTCATCGAGTTCGAGAAACCTATACTTGGAAATCTCAGGAATGTGAGAGACACGACAGAGGACACACGAAGGCAAAAGGTAAGAAGACAGCCGGCTGGTGTCCATTCCCAAACCCCAAAACACTGCTCTTGAAACATGGGCAACCTACCCCATTTTCAAAACCATGGCGGTGTGCTTGGAATACAGAACCCAACCAATACCCTTCACAATGGCTTTCCTCCGTTGCCCCTGCACAAGCAGATGATGACGTATTCAAGGGGGTCTTTCCAAAACATGGTCATATGCGGAACTCCTGCCACCCATTGGCAAGCTGGTGATGGAACGAGTCTCTGACTCTCTGCTGATTCAGGGGCAAGGTCCTATTCACCCTAATCCTTAAGTCTCCCACCGTTTATGTGCATCATCCTCAGCGAGCCATGGAGAATCCCCATCCATAATTGGAAACGCCGCACCAACTGCATCTCATTCAATGCCTGGACAGGGTACTCGGAACCGACTACTATGGAAAAAATATAACACGCTTCACAAACTTTCACTAGATCGATTCGAGAAAAGGGGCCCTCATTCCTGAGTGTCTCCCATCTGGCGAGATCATAACGCATGGATGGCGAGAGCATGACACATGGAAGCGTGGACAAGGTTCGGACAAATTGAGTAAATGGGCGGCAGGACCTATATTTTAGCAATGCGCTGAATGCCGGCAGAAATGTAAAGACGACATACAGAAGCAAGATGGAAAATTGTTTGCCAGGGGTTTCCAAATCGGATAATGTGTGTTGTCCTTCAGCCCCGCAATTTGCAATGGAGAGTGACAAGATTGGATTGGAGTATATTACGCTCCATGATCAAGGGTTTTAGGGTTTCTTGGTTTCTGGATGGAGTTTTCACATTTCAGAATCAACAAATCACCAGAAGTGAAGGGTTCCAAATAATACTAATTTCCAAAACTGGAAAAAAAAAGTATGCTGAAGATGGCCCTCTGGATGGAGAGCTGGATCATGCATGTTTTAACTGGTGTCTTACCTGTCCTGGCTTTGTCATCAGCTGTCTTAGCAGGGTTTCTGGTCGAGTCTTGCCTTGTGTTGGTTCGCCACTGCCCTACGACACACAACAGAGGCCACTCATGCCAGTTCTTAGCCTTCATCTCTAACTCCATAAAAGCCACCTTCTTCCCCCACCCCACGCCCCCCCCCAACCTCACCATCCCCCATTTAACCTCACATTGATGAGAGTTCACTTACCACAGCTCTAGCTTCTGACTTTATAATGGGACCACAACAATCGGTTAAAATTGGAACGATGCAGAGAATGAAGATTAGCATGGCCCCTGGTTGGTCTTTTTTTTTTCATATAAAAAAAAAAAAAAACAAGAAGGATCATCAAGACCTAATTTGCTATCTTTCAATTGCTTCAAAGAAGAGTTCAATCTAATAAATAAACCCCGCCGATGTGGCTGCATGCTGCACACATGTAGTAACCATAATAAGGAGAATAAGGAGACCATGAGTTCCAATACCCTGACTGAAAAAAAAAAAAAAAAAAAAAAAAAAACAGATTAAGACAAACTCATGAATCGGCACCGAGCCCCAAGACCACACTCAAAGTGCTCTACAATCAAAAGTCATTCCCCTTCAAAAAGAGGTTTGCCGTGTCGCTGAACTTCAGCAGGACCTCCCCAGGTCAGACTAGCATACTACCATCTTCACCCGAATAAAACGCCCGGTCATTGTCGCTGCATCCGGTCTGAAAGTTGGCCTAAATGCACTCATAATGACCGGGCAATGCGGGCATTCTATTTGGGTGAAGACAGTAGCCAAACAAGCAAAGAGGCAGCTGAGTCATTCATACCACTGCGTAGCACATTCTCCCTTTCAAAAGAAGACAGTTTTATTTCCTCCAATTAGGTAGACTGGAAGTGGAATATGCAAGATCTGTGAAAAAGCAGCAGACCACTGCCTTCTTGTTTGGACCTCTTTCAATTCTAATTTTTAAAACACCACTACCTTTCCCAGGCAACGCCAAGAATAAAAAAGGTAACATTCCTGGTTCAACAGATGAACTGTGCCACCAGACCACAATGGCTGTTTGCGCCAGCAAGAAAAAAAAAAAAAAAAAACTTCCTCGCTGGCGCTTCGGCAAAGCTTGGCACAACTTCTTTTCTGCCTCGGCAAAAAGAGGCCTGGAGGTAGTGGGGGTATAAGAGAACTATTTGGTGGACAAATAATAATTTGATTTTAAATTCATTAACTGAATTTCCATATCTATTTTATACTGAAGTGCATATTTCTAATGAATGTTTTATGCAATTATTATTCACTATAAATCAATCATTTAACATACCTGTTGCAGGCACAACCACAATAATACTATCATCGCATCAATGATGAGGGGGCAATAACGGAACAAAACAGGGATTACTCAGTTATTCACAGATACTAACCACGGAGGCAGTAAAAACCAGAAAATAAAAATCCCAAGTCAGAAGCAGAATGGGGAGGGGGGAGGAGGGGGAGGAGACGGCAAACAAGGAGGCGGCAAAAGAGGAGGAGAACCCAGCATTCAGGTTCCCGTGCCACATGGATGCACGAATAGGCATTTCGGAATGAGCAGCCCATCCATTCCTCTGAAAGCAAAAGTAGCACTATCAGTACAGCCACAGGCGCTTCTCACATGGCCGAGAACTTGATGACCAGCAAACAGATGCCAATCAACTAAGAAGAGAGTGCACTTTGTGAAACAAATCAGCAAGGAAGAAGACAGCATTTGGCACACAAACCATTTGTTTTGCTTTTTTCCAACCTATTTGCTACTAATTGGACAAGGAGCGAACAACACGAGGCACACGGAGACAATTTGTTTTGCCCTTTTTTCAATCTCTGCCTCTAAGGGGTGGAGAAATCTTACGTTTTCCGATCTAGAAATCTGATCGTGATGTTGTTCACCTCGGCTTCAGCAACTTGCACCCTAATAATTCCATTTGACAAGATCTCCACATCGGTTACCTGCACAAACATGTCAAACAAGGCGACCGGGAGAGAGAGGAGGGGGGGGGGGACAAGGTCAAACTTAAGCCAGCACCTGCATTCCCCTCTTCCTTCATCCTCATCCTTTAATGGCTCATACGCTTATCTATGCCTAGGCACAACTCTTTGCGGTGTGGCACTGCTTCACATAGGCAAGCGCCACTTGCTTGAACCAGGAATAACTCAAGCAGGGCGACAGTGTGCTTCCAAAATTACAGAAAGCATGAAAGGATGTGCATGCACAGGGAGGGCCACAATATGGGCTTCGCTTCAGATCAAGGTAGAAATGTCGTAACAGGGAAAAGCCCGAGAAAACGAGAATGAGGATTACCGAACAATGCCCGAAACCGTTTATTCCCCACAACCTGGCAATCACAAACTGGGAGAATGTGGATGTGGATGGAGCAGCAAACAGGAAATCGCAATGCAGCTTCCACTGAGACAGATACCACGATCATTGGAACAATGTATAAAGCACACGTTTTATGCCCAGATTCAGCCTCGTATCATTCAATTGCAACTGGGCAGGGATACAGGGCTCAGGAACACGCAGTACTTTGCAATACTTGCAGGGAAAAATACTTATCCTTGCAATTTTTCAGCAAGCCCCTGCTAAACTACCAGTCCCTCTGAGCCTCTTTTCCAACAATTTTTTTTGCTGCTGTACCCCCGAAGACAAGAACAAAACGGCCCGGGTGCAGGGCCGTGCCGGCAACCCGCTGGTTGGACTGGGCCGGATCCAACCGGGCCTGTTGAACCCCTGGTGATCCAACTGGAATTACGGTTGGGCCCAAAAGTGGGTCAAAAAAAGAAAAAGAAAAAAAGTTGAAAACATGGTCGGACTGCGCTCGCTGAGATCTCCCGGAATCCGCAAAAAAAACTTTGAACAGAAAAGTTTCGTTTCGGGGTGGGAGGGTTTTTTTTTTTCGGAGGGGGGGGGGTGTATTTCAGGGGTTGGGGGTTGGGGGGGTTATGGTGAGGGTGTTAGTGGTGGGGTTTCAGCAAGCACAGCCTTCAGCAGACATTGACAACAACGTACCTGGCTTTCTGCAAACGTTAACCTTCCCGCCCAAAAACTTTGAAAAGGGGGCTGCGGGTGTTAGTGGCAGGGTAGGTTCTGCAAACGTTAACCTTCCCGTCCAAAAACTTTGAAAAGGGGGCTGGGGGTGTTAGTGGCACGGTAGGGATGGTACTTCCCACCCAGAAACTGGTGTTAGTGTTAGGGGGTGCTTGTCACTGCTGTCTGGTTCAAGTTGCCCTCGATACTGGTAGGGTGTTGGTCCTGAGTGCTGGTCACACTGAGGTAGGATAGTAGGGATAGGGGGTGCGCTGAGAGCATTAACGTGGGGAAGGTTAGGGAAGGTGGGCTATCCTGTCATGACAACCACCAGCTGCCCTGCCAGCGATCACCATGGGTCTACTCCTTGGCCTCTACAACACTCTGGGCATAAAATCAAAAAAAAAAAAAAAAAAAAATGATGCGCTACGGCCAACCGGGGGGGTAACCGGGCCAGTCGACCGGCCAGTAGGACCAGTCCGGTTCCGGTTGGGAGAGGGCCCCCCGGTCGTACCGGGCTTACAGCACTGCCCGGGTGCAAAAAAAAAAAAAAAAAAAAAAAAAAAACAGCACTTTTTGCCATGAACCATTTCAGTCCTGTAAACACAGCAGAGTAACCTCCGCGTCAGCACAAAATACCTGGGGAACAAACTGCTGGTTTAACAAGACCAAAACAACAAATACGGCCACGAATCCACAATACAGAATATCACACTTTCAGCACTATGAACTAACACACAACGAACGACACAAACACCAAGCGTACACTCCCTCAACAAGCTAATGGCAAAACTGGCACATGCAAATTTTGGACTCCGAAAAAAGACCCACCTGGCCAAATAAACCTCGATCCCTGTACCACCCATTGAGCGTCTCCAGCACAATATTCAGCCGCCCAATGTTCACTACTTTACCTGCTCACACAATACGACGAATTACAAACCTGTTAATACAAAATATATTGCAAGCACACATAACCAGTCTCCTCGTGTCGGAGAAGCCTCATCAATGCCCTCTCTCTCTCTCTCTCTCTCTCTCTCTCTCTCACACACACACACACACACACACACACACACACACACACACACACACACACACACACACA